AAATGCTGTCACATCATGTTTTTATTTCCTTAGAGGACTTCTTGTTAGAAACAAACCTGATTTTCATTATCTTCCTCCACTGTCTAAAATATAAGAGTGTATTGGGCTGCTAGGTCAGTGCAATCTACCCAGAGGCCAGTCTATGAGCTGGCATATGGGAGGAGATAAGACGTACACACAAATATATACTTATCTTCAGAGACTATCTCTATTAATACTTGAGCTTTCACTGATAAAGAATGGGGTCCAGCTCTCTGGGATCGATCATTTGCAGAAAGCCATATCCTACAGATACAATGAGAGCCCATAGTCTCTGTCCAAAGTAATTGCAACATAAAGTACAAACACTCAAGTAGCAGAGGATGAGTGAAGTCCCCAAGCAAAAGGGGACTGTAGAGCAGTAAATTAGGGTAACAAATGACTGGAGTTTTGTATTCACCTCTCAAGGCATAGTGTGTAGGCTCACAGAAATCAGGTTGTAGAGACCATTCTGCCTAGGCCACCCTGTATCCCCATCTGTCCACTAGGTGGCACTTTTCCTGTGAAAAGGCTGTGGCTGCCTGCATATCCTCAAATGCTACACCTCAAAAAGCATAAACATGGTTTTGCTAAAATACAAATCAGTGTTTTTTAAACAAGACAATTTGTTAACACAATATATACCTTGTATTAAAATTCCCTAAGTCCCACATGAATTGTCATACTCTGAATCCTAGTCCCCAGGCCCATAAGGATAGAGAACCTAGGGATAAACAGAAAAGCATCTGTAAATGTCTAAGCAAGAAAATTCACTACAAAGAAGCTTCAGAAAATGGAACTTCTGCTATGTCACACTTAAGATGAAAAGCCAGAAGTCTCAGAGGGGAAACACAACGGAAAAGGAAAGGAGATGAGAGGTGAGAGCAGCCAGGGTACCGGACAGTTCAGCAGTGACGGACACTCACAGCTCTTCCTCAGGACCCAGATTTGGTTCCCAACCCCCACATCAGGGGGAACCTGTGTGTATGTAGCTCCAGGTCCAGAGGATCCAACACCTCTGGCTTCCTCGGGCACCTGCACTTACATACACACACCCACATGTGAACACAAAACTACGTATTGTTTTTAACAATAAAAATTAATCTTTAAAAAATAATCTTTAAAACATCTGCAAAGGAATACATATATTCCTTTTTTTGAGAAAATCCCAGAAAATTATAACTATGAATGACTTCGTGTGTGCTACTGTCCTTCAGTGTGTGTCTCTTCCTTTCTTAGTGCCCACACCTAAATCTGTATGAAAGTCTTTTTCTTAGTAACTCAAACTTTGCTTTATTTAAAAAAAAAAAAAGGGGGGGGCAGAGATCATGGTGGTTCTGTCATTTGTCTAGCTTCTATTCAAGGATCCGATAACATTTTTGCAAACACAGTAAACTTTCAAGTGCAGTGGACAGTTCTCAGAAGAAGATAAAGAATATCACTGATGACATAAGCAAAGTACCTTGTTTATTTGAGAAGAGGTTGGGGTCTCGGTAAAAGTTGAGTCTGTTCCTTAAACATGTGCACAGTTGTTGCAAACAGGACACTGACTGTAACGCCACACGATGCTTCCCATCTCCCCCAAAGGCCAGCTTCACCAGACACAAAAGGGCCTGAGACAGGAGAGTAAAAGTAGTCACAGAGATGGATGTAACCAGGCTTGGTGGGCAAGCCCAGGATTCCAGAACTTGGATGGCAGAGGCAGGAGGATCAATCACAACTTTCAGGCAACAGTCTGGCCTGCACAACAAGTTCCAGGGCATAAATAACAACATCTAAGTTTTTTAGATTATTGTTTTTAGAACTACATGCAAAAAGAAAAAAGGATGTAGCACTTAAGTAAGGAAAGGTGAATAATCAAAGAAAAAGTAAACCAAAAATGACAATTTGAGAGAGGCAAAGTTAAGAGAATATACTCAGTGAAACTACTTTCCACTAAAAGAACTGTAAATATCCAGATAAGCTGAAGAGAAAGCAACTTAAATAACTCAATACTTCATTTTTTTTAATATTAATAAAGTTCTCTTCCCAAAGACTATTCCTCTGCCATGCAATTTGCTAATTCGTGGTGAGATAAACTGTTCTGTTTTAAAAACCTAAAGCAATTGCAGATACTTACCTGAACTATCTTTGGTCTCTGAAGGAAAATCTCAGCAGGAAAGTCTTGCATGATCACATCCTTCAGAAGTTCACATGTGTTCCAGATCAGTGTGTGGTTACTACTTCTCAAAGAGCTAAGATATCAGAGTTACACATCAGAAAGAGTCCTCCTACACCTGCCTATGTCAGCTCATGGCATAAATGTCTCCATTACACCTAAGGCCTAGCAGCAGCACTCTTTCTGGTGACGATCCTCCATCTTTTCATAGTGGACTCTGAGGAGGAGCTGCTTCCAGATACCTACACTTATAATGCAGTGACTGCTTGCTGGCTTTGATCCTCCACCAGACCATACTCAGGAACAGGAGCTCTATCATATTAACCACTGAGTGTGGAAACTATCACAGTTCTACCAAATGGGACTGGTGAGGTCAAGCATGATTTTCTAATCACAAGAAAAAAGAACAGCCAGTATAGTGGTAATTTCATGGAATTCGATTATCTAGTCATCTTCCCTATTCTGGGCGTCTTCTTATCCCACACCCCTCAGCTTCTGTTTACCTGAGGATGCAGCAATTGTCCACAACCCACCTCAAGAACTCAGCTTGGGTTGGTCCAACCTCTTCCTTAGGTACTGACTACAACTAATACTATGGGAACATTATCAGAAATCACCTGTATCTTGCCTTAACTCTTTCAAATTGAATTTTTCAACTAAATTGACACCTTATCAAAAGAGGCAGGTCATTTATTGTGATGTAAATGAAACCATATCAAGTGAATATAGATATTAAAAACACTCTCTGGGACTGGAGAGAAAACTCAGTAGTCAATAACACTTGCTGCTCTTGCAAAGGTACCCCCGTTCGGTACCCAGCACCCACATCACCCAGCTCTGAACCACCTGTAACTCCAGCTCTGGGGGATTGGATGCCCTCTTCTGGACTTTTCGGGCACCTGCACTCACACATGCACAAACACACACACAGACACACATAATTAAAAATACAATAAGACTTTCTCAATTTTTAATTTTTAAGACAGAGTCTCAATATGTTGCCCTGGCTGGTCTCAAACTCATAGAGATGCACCTGTGTCTGCCTAAAGAGTACTTGTATTAAAAGTGAGTTCCACTATGGTCAGTCCTAAAAATAAAATAAAATAAAATAAAACTTAAAAAAACAAAGACAATAAACAAAACTCTGCAAACATTTAGATATCAGCCCTCTACTTCAGAAGGTAATAAAATTGGGACACAATAGAGAAAATCAGTGCAGTTATCTCCAACCTTCTCAACAGAGGTTTTTCTCCTAATGGAGCCCACATTTTAAAATATATTCTATCAAAAAGATTATTTATATTTAATTTTTCCATTGTTCTTCATGAAGGGCACAAGAAATAGGCAATCAGACCAAAAAATCTACACAATAAGAGCTAGCATGTTATGAAAGATTATGTAAGATTCCAACCATAAAGAGAAACTGAATGAGCCAGGTATATAGTGCATGTTTATCACCACAGTGCAGAAGAGGAGCAAAGTGAAAGGAGGAGTCAGTAGGTCAAGGTCATCCTTGACTACAAGTAGCATGTAGCTTAAGCTACATGATACCCTATCTGAGGGGAAAAATAAAATGGCAAGTAGATGGCTCAAAGATACAGACATACAATAATTTTCTGGCCTTTATTTTTTTTTTTTTTTTAAACACTGAAAACTGTACCTCTTTTCAATACTTGTTGCCATTTCCAGAAGAAAACATATGGTGGTAACTATTAAATTTTTATGGCTACTAAGAACCAAAAAGACCTATACTGCATCAGAACTGTACCTTTCATTGGAAGAAAGAACATGTCTATCTGTTGTGGTCAGGGGAAGCCAAGGAAATACAGAAAACTTCAGCCACTTCACAGTCGGGTTTCCTGTTAAGGAACAGCAAAACTTAAGATATAAAAGGAACAAACGTGACAGTGTGCAAATATCTATAAGTTGTAAAATGAAATTAACCTTTTCCTTCCAGATTGCTCTGTCATGGTGTTAATCAGAGCAACAGAAAACAAACTAATGTAAGTCACTATGAAGCATCATCAGGAAGGTCTCTACAGCAGCACAAGAGCATAAACCAGACATAGGACAACCACATACTGAGACCTAGAATGAGACTCCTGGAAGAGAAGGCTAAATCAGAAGGCCCTGATTGTATGTCAACTGGCTGTTACACAAATAGTGATAAAAAGGAAACTAGGCTGACCCTGAGTCTCCAAGTGGACTGGATTGATGGTACCATTTCATAAGCTGGTACCACCCATGAGACCAGCCATGAATCATACCTGGTACAAACCTGATAAGAATTTGTGTTCAACAAGCACTAAATATAGTGACAGCACCAACTCAATACAGTTAGTGAGGCATAAAACCTGACCACACAGACTCAAATCCTAAGCTAGTACAAAGCAAATGAAACATTAAATTTTGTGCTACAGCTTTCCAGTCTGACCACAGCATATCTTTGGCTCAAGGAAGAAGAGTCCATTGATCTTTTTATCAACCGATCAAACACTTCCCCATCTATACACACCAACTGGCACTGGTGGCACTTCCATCTGCTGGAAATTCCTTTTGTCTTGGGAGAAATACCCTGTTAAAACTTCATGTTGTTGTGACAATTCTGAAAAGAAAATACATGAATTACTGTGTTATCAATTCACCTGCTAAAATAAAATTATGTTTTAAATTATTTTATTTTCTCCCACTCTTTCAATGATTATTAAAACAAAACAAGGCAATCTACCTTGTTCTGTGAATACTGTATCTCTCAAAACAAACAAAAAAAAAATTACTGTTCACATAGACGCACACATACCCAAATGTAATAAAGATTTTCAAGAAAATACACAGCAAAAAAAATTAACAAAATTGAATACAGAAAAACATTTACCAATTTGATCAGTTTGATAATCGGCAGTACACTGAATAGGAACTTCTGAAGGAAGAACAAAAAGTCCATCAAGAATGCCATCAATCTCAGCCTGCATTGCTGGTTCCACATGTGGACGGAGCTTAGATAAGAACTCTACTGCACCAAGGTCAATCAAGTGCTGGAACGCTGGGGGATACTACAGTAAAAGAAAAAATCTTGAGAATAGCCATGGACATGAAAATGTTCTGAACTTCATTTTCCCACAATCAACACATAGTTATTTTGGTAAATCAAATAGTCCATGTTTTGAAAAACAAATTCTGAGTCTTGGGTGCTCTAGAGTAAACAACTTCCATTAATCAAACATAAGGTAAAGGAGACAAACTTGAAGAAACATCTTAAGAGAAAGAAGCCAAGACTTTGAGCACTGAAAATACACACTACAAATTCCTCTTTATTTTTAAATGTTTTATTGTTACTATAGTGACCTTAGAAAATGGGTTTCATTACAACACTTTTATACGTATTCATC